TATTTTCCATTTTGAATTTCTTTAATAACTCGTGAGCATATTTTCTTTGGGAAATGACAATGCCATTTGATAATTGACTTATTTCCATTCCAAGAAAGTATGTCAGAGCCCAAGGTCGCATTTCAAACATCTCCTCTATCTCCTTCTTGAAGTTGGAGATTAAACTTGGACTACTACCTGCTACCAATATATCATCTACATAAATAGAAACAATTAGCAAATCACCATTCTCAATGGCTTCCACATACAAGGTTGGCTCATTTTCACTCTTCAGAAAGCCACATTGTGTTAAGTAAAAGTCAATCTTGCTGTACCATGCCCTCGGAGTTTGTTTAAAACCATGTAAAGCCTTATGAAGGTTGTACACTTTGTCTTCCATACTAAAAACCTTAAAACCTTCAGGTTGCTCAACATATAGCTCCTCCTCAAGTTCACTATTTAGGAATGTTGATTTAACATCTAAATGGTAAATCTTCCACTATGTTTGTACAGCAAGAGCCCAAAGAATTCTAATAGTTTCATGTCTTGTAACAGGTGCAAAACTATCACCAAAGTCTACCCCTGGTTGTCGTGAGTAGCCCTTTACAACAAGTCTAGCCTTATTCTTGTCAATAGACCCCTCTGGATTTAGCTTGAGCCTATAAAACCATTTCACTCCAATAGCTTTCTTCTTATCCAGTTTGTTAACCAAACTCCAAGTTTGATTTTCGAAAATCATCTTCAACTCCTCTTCCATTGCATTTCTTCATTCTTCATGCTTGTCTGCTTCTTCAAAGCTTGAAGGTTCCACGACAGCAAGATTACACTATTCATAAATTTTCGATAGAGGTCTCATTTTCAGTATTGCCATGTCTGTTGTTGACTCAACAGTGGGTGAAGTGTGTAAATTTCCACTATTTTACTGACTTCCAAGTTAGATCCCTGATTGTTGAAGGAATTAGAACAATGATCACTAGATCCTACAGAACCTGTAACAGACTCATCTTTTTCCATTTTCTTCAATTACAAAGAACCTGTAACAGACTCATCTTTTTCCATTTTCTTCAATTACAATATATTTTTCCACTTTCTTCAAATCTCAGTTCTAGGGACCAAATTCATCAATTACAACATCTCTGCTCACTTGGATTTGGTTTAAATTCAGGTTATAAACCCTATAACCCTTAGAAGTGGTTGCATAACCCAAGAAAATTCCTTATTTATACCAGAGTTTTCTTACTCATGTGGCGTAGTCATTTATACCACAATTCAACTGTACTGTCATTCTCCACTACACTCAAAGTGTCTTAGGAGAGTTTCGCATGCATCATGTACAACTTTCGGTCTTTAGCTACCACAAATGAACCTTTAACCTTTGTGAGCTTCCCACTGACCATTTTTGAAGGTGCTTACAAAAACCTCATCAATCAAATCTGCCAACCGAGATTTGGGACGGCATGCTCGTAAAGCCCATTCCTCATCAAGTCTTGTCTTTCCGGTTTTAGTTGAACTACAACACATGCATTTTGATTACCATAAGGAGATCTCTCATTTTCTCCATATATGGTAATTCCCGCCATTTAGACTTATCATTTTGCTTGTCCATTTTGACTTGCGCAGAAAATCATCACCAACATAAACCGTGTACGTGAACAGTAGTATACGTGAATAGTGTGAATAGTAGTATACGTGAATAGTGACCATGAATAGTAACAGTATACTCGAATAGTAACTGTATGCATGAATAGTAACTGTACATGTGAATAGTACTGTGCGTGAATAGTGCTGGGCTTGAAGCGGACTCAGCAACAGTAACGCCAATGGACTCGTCGTAATTTTTTCTTCGTTGTGGTATATTTATTTTCAAAATATATCCACGGATCCGGTACTGCTATCTGATCGGCTGGACCTACCGAAACCTTAGGCTCTGATACCACTTGTTGGGCATCAGCTCTGATACCAGTTGTTAGGCATGAGCTCTGATACCAGTTGTTAGGCATGAGCTCTGATACCACTTGTTGGGCCTCAAGTACCACTTGCCTCAGCTCTGATACCACTTGTTTGGCCCTTTCAATCAATTAAGAGAAAATTTACACAGCGAAAAAGTAAACTTGTGACACACAGACATCACAGAAATTTAAACGTGGTTTCACCATAAATTTACGTGGTTCACCATCAACTGTTTAGGGCTACGTCTAGGGAACAAACTCCGAATAATTCTTCCACTATTAAAAATAGTAGGTACACAGAGAATAATACAAAAATAGTGGCACTCAAAGTATTTCCCAAAAACACCCATAATAATTTTCTCACTATTTTTCTCTCCCCTAGTTTTAGTGAAAAATCTCCTATTTATAGGAGAAGGGGACGCGTCATTAACGTGTCCATCGAATGGATGCGTTAATCACGCGTCCACTTTTCCTTTTTTTTTTTCTTTCTTCCGCTGCCTTCTTTGACTGCCAAAACAAAATGTGTTTGTTTTTTTTTTTTTTCCTTCAAACTTGTGTGTGGCCACATGTCGGAGGGACCCACAACAAGCAATTGGTCCCATTTAATGTATAAAAGAAATAATTTTTAGTATATCATTATTGAACATTACTCTTACATATATATAGTTTGAAATCATTTTCAAATCTTTGGCTCATAATCTTATGTTTCATAATTACAGCAATGGATAAAGAAAATAATAAAATAATAAAGAGGCTAAAACCCAAAGTTTTGAAAATATAACAATAAAGAAAAGTAAAAATTAATAATCTAAATGATAAATATTTATATTTTGTTCAAGGGTAAAGAGGTGGAAATACTATTTTTTAAAAAATTTTTGTCATTATCATAATTAAAATAGAATAAAATAATAAATTTAATTTTAATAAATATCAGTTACCAAAAATATTATTAGTATATTATATATTATTTAAAAAGAATAAATAAGGCATTGGAGCCCAAAATATCATTTGAAACACCTAACACGCAATATGTGGTTTCACAAAAAAATAATGATCATGGGAGACATCACCACTTGAACGCAAGATGATTGTGGCTACTAGGTATGGAAGCGAGCATGTAGGCACGAGTTTTGTACCATCCGTGTCTCGTTTCGTCTGTAACTTTAATATTCGTTTGAGATGTATTTGAATATCTTTATTTGAATCCATTTAAAATTTTAGTATTTATAGCCTTAAAGTTCAAGTATTCAAAAGATTTAAATTATCCAAATTAGAATTTATTTAAAATTATATTTTTAAGTAATACATAAGCTCCAATGAATACTAATTATTAAACCTATTTAATATAGCAAATAATGGGTATTCAAATATCTATATTTGTACCGTACGTATCTATTACGAATAATAATTTCACTATCCTATTTATTTCAAATCCATTTTGTAATAATTTGTATCCTTATTAAACAAATTGAAGTGGGAGGAGTACCCTAAAATATCCGTCCCGCTTTCATCCCTAATGGCTACAATTATTATTAGCACAATGCATAAATCTAACCTGAACTTTCTCCGATTATTCTTGTGTCTCCTGAACTTTGCGGGGGACCCATAATGATCCTAAACTTTTATTTTCTTCAGTAATTATGCATCTTGCCACGTAGAAAATAAGTAATGTGCATTCAATCGCTTGAAAGAGAGTGATGACTTAATTTTAATACCAAGTGTATCAAACGTGATGCTTCTCCTTCCAAACTCAAACAAAGTCTTTAGTCCAAATGTGTACCCCAAACAACCCATGCACAACCCATAGGTTATCAAAATAAATCTCTCTCTTTCACCGCCTTTCATTGAAGATCCACTCTCACTCTCTCTGTTAAAAACTTAAAATGAAGACTTGTAAGGATTTCAAAATTTTTGTCCAGATTTTTGTCCAGCTTATCATTTTCTTTTCGAAGACTTGTAAGGATTTCAAAATTTTTGTCCAGCTTATCATTTTCTTTTCGAAGACTTGTAAGGATTTCAAAATTTTTGTCCAGCTTATCATTTTCTTTTCGAAGACTTGTAAGGATTTCAAAATTTTTGTCCAGCTTATCATTTTCTTTTCGCTTCTATTGTTGTTTCTTTTGATTGTTAAATAAAGATTATTACGAAATCATTCAATTTTGAAAATCAGCTGTAACAGTGACATAAATATACAAAGAACAATTGAGTACTGAATAAAGAATAACAATACCAAAGAGAAAAAAGAAAGAACAAAATCCTCAACTGCACAATATGAAATCCCTAACAGTAATACCACAACGACAAAGCTTCATCTCTCTCTCTCTCTCTCTCTCTCTCTCTCTCTCTATTTCTAATTCTAATTTTTTAAAGTTGAAAAGAAAAAGGTGGTTTCAGTTACAGTGGACGCCATTCTACGAAATGGTAAGAGAGCGCTCTAGGATTTTTTAGGAGAGAGAATGGTAGAGATCCTGTTGTTTTAGTTTTTGTTTGATTTTTTAAGGAGTGAATGGTAGAGATCTAGTATAGGAAGACATAGTTGAAGCTTGAAGAAGAAAAATGAAGGACAGTGTGAGGGAGAAGGCAAATAGGAATCATTTGTGTAGGTTAAAGATTCTAGAAGGTCATTTTATTTTTAAATGGAAGGGACATCACATAATCCCAAGTGACATCAATTAACACACTTTTTTTTTTTATTTCAATAACCTTATAGTTATAGGAAAAAAATAAAAATTTAAAGTCATAACAGATCCTGCAAAATTCAAGAGTTACAAAGATAATGCGTTAAGTTTCAAGATTAAATTTATTGCACAATCTGTTATTATTACATATAATATATACATATAATATACATAGATATTAGTGTTGAAGATAAAACTGGTTCCATTGGCCGTATATTCACGTGAGAAAGTCGAGGTGGGAGAGAGTATGATTAGTATGTCTCTATTGTCTCAAACTTGTGGGGCCCACCATGTTGGAGGGACGCGGACCTTTTTTGACTATATATCAAGGCAAGAAATTTTTTATTCTTTTTATCCAATGAACTGTCATCTACTCATTTCAGAAAGGAACACCCTCTTCCTCGTATATAAATTGCTCCTTATTTCTCAGTTAAGCATATTGAAGCGAGAACCTTCTTCTTCTTGTTCTTGTACATCTCTAGAGCTTGTGCGGTTACAACAATGGCTCTACAAGCTGTTCTGCCATTTCCTCTTGCATCATCAACCCAGTTTTCTCTTCATTTGTATAAGAGGACCCCATATGCAAATGGATTCAAGTCTATTCGGTGTGTCTCTGCTAATGTTGCTGCCAGTGATGGGCTCAAAACAAGTAGACGGTCGGCAGATTATCCATTATCCATCTACTTATTGGGACTATGATCTTCTTCAGTCACTTAGTAGTAACTATTCTGTACGTTAAGCTGTTAATATAACTAGCAACTTTATTTTGGTTTTGTTAACTAGTCTGCTATTCATAGAACTGACACATATATATTTGCAACTTGCAGGAAGAGAAATATGGCAACAAACAACTTGCAGGAAGAGAAATATGGCAACAAGGTTGAGGAACTGAAATATGAAGTAAAGAGTCTAATTTATAGAGAGATGGAGCCATTGGCCAAGCTTGAGCTCATTGATGAAGTTCAAAGGCTAGGCTTGAAGTACCATTTTGAGATGGAGACTAAGAATGCACTAAATGTTGTCTATTCAAACACTAATAATGGTTGGCCATACGATGATGATCTTTATGCTACTGCACTTCGTTTTAGGTTATTTAGACAACATGGGTATCATGCCCCCCAAGGTACCACCAACTCAATTATTTGTCACTTTATTTACGGCGGACTGTTTGGTTCAAATTGAACCTAACGAATCCAAACTGAACGGGTTGTTTTTTTTTATATCAAACCAAATCCATTCCATTTTGTTTTTTTTAACTATTTTTGAAAGATTTAGATTTATTTTTAGGATTTATAAAAATCGAACCAAATCGAAAAATTTTGGTTTTCTCGATTAAGACCCGTATAAAACCAAATATCTAAAATTTCATACTAAATCAAACTGAATTTGATTGGTTCAATTTTGTAGTTTAGTTTGAACCAAACTAATTTTGTAACTAATTTGTAGAAATGAATAAACCAATACTATCAATTTTTTAATTTTAATAAAATTCTCTTGAAATTTATTTAAAAAATTATAATAAAACAAAAAAATTGAAAATTTCTATGCAACTTTTTTTTTTTTCATGATTGCCACCTAGGTTTTAAATTTGAAACCATTGGTAATTCAAATATTGAAACCATTGGTTATAATTTCAAAATATGAGGAACCAAGACCGTATTGTATGCACACGGTTTCGGTTACGATTTAAAATTGAAAAGTATTGTATGCACACGGTTTCGGTTACGGTTTAAAATTGAAAATTGTTGACTACAAAATTTGGTTCGGATTTTAACCAATTTGATTTTAATTAGATACTGGTTTGAAATCGCAGCATGATCATAGGTACCTATACCTCTCAAATCCATTTTTTAATACTCAAATCTGTGATACATTAGTCTGGTATCTGAAAAAACCTGACCCTTGCCATCCCTATGCCTGGTCATTCACAACAACCTTTCTAACGTTTACTGTAGTGTGGAGATAAAAGGATTACCTAACGGTTTGTCTTATCAATCTATAAACTCTGCTTGTTTGGCTATTGGAGCAATGTCATTGTTTTAATATTTTTATTATTTTTTCATTAAGTAATTTATCTAAATCAAAGATGAAAGAAACAGATATCAACATTCTCAGTTTGTTTTAATTTTATCTGGGTAGATATATTTGAGAGGTTCAAAGATGAGAAAGGTGAATTCAAGGCATCACTTTGTGAGGATGTGAAAGGATTGTTGAGTATGTATGAGGCTCTTTCTTTGGGTTTGAAGGTGAAAATACAAAAGATGAGGCCAAGCTCTTTAGTACTAAACGTTTGGTGGCTCTCAAAACGTCTGCATCTGGAAGTTTTAGCAGGAAAATAGAGCATGCTTTAGATATGCCAATCCACTGGCGGCTGAATAGGATGGAGGCAAGATGGTTTATTGATACATATGAACAAGAGCAACACATGAATCCTACTTTGCTTCAACTCGCTAAACTGGATTTCAACATGGTGCAATCTATTCATCAAAAAGAAGTTAGCAAATTTGCTTCAACTCCCTTTAAAAGTTGGCAAATTGGCAAGGTATATTTTTTGGTTATATGTTTATGTAGTTTAATAATACTTGGCCTTTTTTTTTCCCCTTTAATTTCCCATAATTTATTTGTTGTTTACTGAAGTTTGACTTTTCTTTTATCCAGTACGAAGACAATATTATATTTATTTTTCAGGAAGGGTAATTTCATGGTCTTTATTGGAACTTTTAGTTAAAAGTTTTAATTTCTTTGAGCTTTTTTTCAATAGGCATGGCAAAATTATGCGGAACCACAAGGATCTGAGCCAGTTTTTAGGTCGGATTTCAGAATAAACTGAAAATCAAATTACCGAGGATACGGTTGGGATCAGTATTTGATTGCACCGCCCTGTATTTTTTTTTTTTTTTTTTAAATTTTTTTATTTTTGAAATTCAATTACTGATCGGTTTAGATATAAAAAACTATTTGATTTTTAATTTTGGTTCAATTACAAAATACCGATGATTGCACTTTATAATTACAAAAATGACATCGGCATGTTTTTAGCATGGTAAGCAATTCTCTGGTTTTAATCGAAAATTGAATTAAACTGATTCATTTTGACTGAATTCGAGCAGTTATTTTTGAAATTCAATTACTGATTGGTTTAGATATAAAAATCTATAATAGATTTTTAATTTTGGTTCAAATACCATATATAACTAACAAATTTATTTTTAAATCTAAAATAACTAATTTGGTTTGCAATAATTGATTCAAACTGAACCAATCCAATTTAATTAAGTTTGAATCTACCGCTTAGTTCCAGATTTGATTACAATAAAATTATATACCAACAACCAAAACCGAATTAATTCAGTTTGATTCTGTTTAGTTGATGAAATGCTCACCTTTAATATGCCATGTTCATATAGGGATTTTCTGTATTCCGCCTCAGCATTTTCTCTGTAAAATTTTCAGATATCTATAATGTATATTACGTACCTCTTTGACATCTACATGCGTCGTAGAATTTTTATTTAGAAATTTTTAAATTTGACATGCGAGAGATGCAACATCTTGAAACACAATTTTTTTTTTTTTTGAAGTTATCTTGAAACACAATTGAAATACTCTTGGACATATCTATATTTCAACAATTAATTATCTGCTTCAAATTGATGTTCATTTGCTCTTATTCTCATGCAACTTCAATTAATTATTGTAAATTTCAGGTGGTGGGTGGATTTGGGATTAAATAAAATAACCTTTGCTCGAGACAGGCTGGTAGAACACTACTTTTGGGTTTGTGGGATGGTTTTTGAGCCAGAATTTGGACACTACATGGGATGGTTTTTGAGCCAGAATTTGGACACTACAGAGATATGACAACAAAAATTCTATGTTTGATTACTGATGTAGATGATGTTTATGATGTTTATGGTTCACTAGAAGAGTTGGAACTTCTCACAGAATTTATAGAGAGGTAAACTTATGGCTACTGGGATTTTATGCATGGGATTATATTGCTGCTGATTCTCATTTGTATAACCCCTTTGTCTTTTAATATGTAGATCCTGAGAGGAAATTCTTATAGTGACATTTTGTTGGAATTGTAGGTGGGACATCACCAAGATTGATAAGCTTCCTCATATGATCAGATCAATCTTCTTGGCAATGTACAACACTACCAATGAAATTGGCTATATTGGACTATAAAAGAGAAAAACTTCAATATTATTCCATATTTAAGAAAAGAGGTTAAAAATTTAACTGGACATGGTTCCTATATCATTTTTTAATTAATAGCTATGATATTCTTTTGTTCTTGCAGTGGGCAAAACTCTGCAAGACCTACCTTACAGAAGCAAAGTGGTACCATAAAGGATATAAACCAACATTAGAAGAGTATCTAGATAATGCAGTTGTTTCAATAGGAGCACCCTTCATGTTATTTTGTTGTTATTTTCTTACTGCTGATAAAATAACCACAGAGGCTTTAGATTTCATAGAAAAACTTCCAACTATCGTGCGCTGCCCTTCCCTAGTTCTTCGTCTCACTGATGATTTGGGAACTTCAACGGTAAGTCTTGTCAATGTCATTTAAAATTTTATTGACACCTTTTTGACAATTAATGCACATATATTTGTTTAATGCTTAGTATGAATTGGCAAGAGGAGACAATCTAAAGGCTGTCGAATGTTATATGAATGAGAAAGAAGTTTCAGAAGAAGTTGCTCGCCAACATATCAATCATTTAGTCCATGAAACATGGAAGGAGATGAATAAGGCCATGCTTTTTAATTATCCCTTCTCAGAACCTTTTCTTAGCGCTAATCCAAATCTAGGGAGGACTTCTCAATTCTTTTACCATCATGGAGATGGACATGGCTACCCAATGGAGATGGACATGGCTACCCAGGAAATGAAACCAAGGCTGACCTTTTGCCATTGTTGTTGAAGCCTATTTAATGTCAAACGTCAAGATTACTTAATTTAATTTCTTAAGATAGAAATATGTTTTGGATGATCTTGTAATGCCATTTAGTTATTGTATAATATTGGCTACTCAATTTTAATAAATAGTATTTTTTTTCTTTTTTTAATAAAATAAACAAATTATCATAGAGTGTATATATATATTATTATAATAAAATATAATATAGTATAACATAAAAGCAGAACATAATTGAAATAGAATATATTTACAATTAGATAATTAATTTTTAATATATATAATTAACTTATATCAAAAATTTGCTTATTCATTTATTAATTAATTAATTAATAATTTAATTTAAATTAATTAATTAATTTTAAATAAATACATTAGAATTAATTATCAAATTAAAATAAATCCAAATAGCCTGCCATATCTTTTATCACTATTATATATTTTAAATTATAAATTTTCCATTTCAAACCTCAACTTGTTTGAAATGGAATAGCATCAAGAGTCAAGACCACCTTGTTTGAAGCCTATGCATTTTGACCTTCCCATTATAGATTTTATGTAATATAATGCACGGTATCTAAAATATCTAGTTCCATTGCTTACTCGACATTGTATTCCACTTTAGAACGCTTTAATATTTTGATATTTTATTAGGTAAAATGTTTTTTTTATGTTCCTAATTAATAAAGTTAAAAGATCTATAGTAGTTGCACCAAGAGATCTATAATATTCTTTATAAACATTAAATCTTAGTCTAATAATTAAATTTAAGACCCTAATATTTATAAGATATTAATTTTTCATATGATATGCATTGCACCTTATCATTACTCATTTTAATCATTATTTATACTTTTTATTCTTTTATAATTTTCTCTTATAGTGTCTAGATTTTATAAAGTTAAACATAATTTCATATTGAGATTGATGTGAATATAATGACTAATTAATAAAACAGTAGTAAAAAAATATTATGTACATGTACAATATTTATTCAAAATCCACTTTTATCTTATGTGACAATTATTATGTATATGTACAATATTTGTTTGAAAATTCAGATCTGATGGGACTTTTGAAACATATAAGGCCAGATTGGTAGCTAAAGCATGTAGCTCAAGGGTGTATGTAGTAGGAAAGGTTGGACTATCAAGAAACTTTTAGTCTAGTAGCTAAACATACTACTGTTAGTTTTTTTTTTTTTTATTTTCTCACTCTGGTTGTTGTTAATGGTTGGCATCTATTACAACTAGATGTTGACAATGCTTTTCTTAATAGGGATTTAGTACATGATATTTATACGGTTACCATCTTCAAAGGAGGCTATGGGGTTAAAATGTGAATATAATAATTATGGTTCTTCTAATTTTGTTTTCCGAGGAGGCTATGGGGTTAAAATGTGAATATAATAATTATGGTTCTTCTAATTTTGTTTTCCGATTTGACTAGTAATCTTGCTTCTCAACCACTTAATTGCAAGTTGCAAAAATCATTATATAGGTTGAAACAAGCTTCCAAATATTGGAATGCCAAATTCACATAATCTTCATTGTTGAACGGTTTTTCACAATTAAGGGCAAATTATTTTTTGTTCACTAAGAGTTAGGGTTATATTTTGTGGCTCTGCTTGTATATATAGATTGAATTGTGATTATTGCTAGCAATAATGTATAGTTAAAGAATTTAAGTTCCAAAACTTAAACTTAAAGATTAAGTAATTTGAAGAACTTTCTAGGTCTTGAAATTGCTCTGTATAATATTTGTTATAGGAATATAATTTAGAATTCTTAAAAGAAATTGGTTACTTGTCTGTTAAACCAAGCATAATTCTTATGCAAGTGAATCTCAAACTAATGCATTTTGAAGAGGAACTATTAAATGTCCTAGTCAGTACAAAAATTAGCTATATTTTGCAGTCTTTAAGTTTATGGATAAGCCTAAATAATTGCATATGTGAGTAGCATCTCAAGTTTTAAAATTGTTAGCTTTAGAAACTCTAATACCACTTAATAGAAAAAATAGAAAGAAACCCAATTGATAGAAAAACCAATAAAAGTATACAAAGAGAAGAAGTTTAGAATAGAAATTCTTTATTAGAAAACTCTTTGTTGCTTAATTACAACTGGCATAGGGTAACTATTTATAGATAAACTAGCACCTACTATTTATAGATAAACTAGCACCTGTAACAACTAAGACATTAAACTTTAGTTTGAAACCTAAGCTTTAAATTTACATAAAAAACTTAAGCTCTAAATGCAACAAGAAACTCTTCCATTTATTTTGAAACTATTAAAACCATAAATGTTAGTAAAGTAAATTCTTAATACTTTAACGCTCCTTAAGAATTTTCTTTACCACATCAAGTTTTTCCCTTAATTCTTCAAAACAAGCCTTTCCCAGAGATTTTATTAAAATATAAGTCAGTTGATAATTAGCACTGCAATGAACAAGACAAACTTCACCTTTTTTCTCCGCTTGTCTAATGGCATGATACTTCATCTGTATATGCTTTGTCCGACCATGTTGGACTGGATTTTTAGCCATTAAAATAGCTGATTGATTATTGATTATTTATCTTGATTATGGTTGCAGTAGGTTGACTTTGTTGTAAATCCAATAACACTTTCCTTAACCATTTTTAGCCATTAAAATAGCTGATTGATTATTGATTATTTATCTTGATTATGGTTGCAGTAGGTTGACTTTGTTGTAAATCCAATAACACTTTCCTTAACCAAATGACTTGATTAGTAGCAGCAGCTGCACTCATATACTCTGCTTCTTCTATTGACTGAGCGACCACATCTTGCTTTTTGGACATCCAAGAAAAAACTCTAGAACCTAATGAACACACACAACCAGTTGTACTTTTCAAATCATTTGGACATCCTGCCTAATCGCTATTAACATAACCATTTAACTTCCCATCTTCAACCTGCTTGAACTGGATTCCATAATCTAAAGTTCTCTTAATGTACCTGAGCACTCTTTTGGCTGCTATCAAATGTTTTTGCCCTGATGCTTGCATGAACCTTGACAAAACACTAGTAGCAAATAGCAAATCAAGCCTGGTAGCTATTAGATATAGTAGGCTTCCAACTAGCCTTTCGAAATTGGAAGCATCAGCTTCTTCTTCTCAATCTACCTTGGACAATTTCTAGGTTTGAACTAGTGGAGTACTCATTGGCTTACTATTTTCCATTTTGAATTTCTTTAATAACTCGTGAGCATATTTTCTTTGGGAAATGACAATGCCATTTGATAATTGACTTATTTCCATTCCAAGAAAGTATGTCAGAGCCCAAGGTCGACATTTCAAACATCTCCTTTATCTCCTTCTTGAAGTTGGAGATTAAACTTGGACTGCTACCTGTTACTAATATATCATCTACATAAATAGAAACAATTAGCAAATCACCATTCTTAGTGGCTTTCACATACAAGGTTGGCTCAATTTCACTCTTCACAAAGCCACATTGTGTTAAGTAAGAGTCAATCTTGATGTACCATGCCCTTGGAGCTTGTTTAAAACCATATAAAGCCTTATGAAGGTTGTACATTTTGTCTTCCGTACTAAAAACCTTGAAACCTTTAGGTTGCTCAACATATAGCTCCTCTTTAAGTTCACTATTTAGGAATGCTGATTTAACATCTAAATGGTAAATCTTCCACTATTTTTGTACAACAAGAGCCCAAAGAAGTCTAATAGCTTCATGTCTTGTAACAGTTGCAAAGCTATCACCAAAGTCTACCCCTGGTTGTTGTGAGTAGCCCTTTACAACAAGTCTAGCCTTATGCTTGTCAGTAGACCCCTCTGGATTTAGCTTGAGCCTATAAACCCATTTCACTCCAATAGCTTTCTTCTTATCCGGTTTGTCAACCAAACTCCAAGTTTGATTTTTGAAAATCATCTTCAACTCCTTCATTGCATTTCTCCATTCTTCATTTGCCATTTCTCCACTTCTTCATGTGTCGCTTGAATCAATCCGCCTCCTCTTCTGAAAAATGTGCAATGTTGAGCCAAGGAGAATTTGTCCACTGCATTTGTAATATCCGCGCGCGGAATATAGAAAAGAATCTACACCTGTAGTTTGCATAAGGATGTATATTAATTTCCTTAAGTAAGTTTCTGATTCCAAATGATAGCCGTTATGGCATTTCACTCCAATAGCTTTCTTCTTATCCGGTTTGTCAACCAAACTCCAAGTTTGATTTTTGAAAATCATCTTCAACTCCTTCATTGCATTTCTCCATTCTTCATGCTTGTCTGCTTCTTCAAAGCTTGAAGGTTCCACAATAGCAAGATTACACTATTCATAAATTTTCGATAGAGGTCTCATTTTCAGTATTGCAGTGTCTGTTGTTGACTCAATAGTGGGAGAAGTGTGAAAATTTTCACTGTTTTGCTGACTTCCAAGTTAGATCCCTGATTGTTGAAGGAATTAGAAAGATGATCACTAGATCCTATAGAACCTGTAACAGGCTCATCTTTTTCCATTTTCTTCAATTACAATATATTTTTCCACTTTCTTCAAATCTCAGTTCTAGTGACCAAATTCATCAATTACAACATCTCTGCTCACTTGGATTTAGTTTAAATTTAGGTTATAAACCCTATAACCCTTAGAAGTGGTTACATAACCCAAGAAAATTCCTTTTTTAGCCTTTTGATCCAGCTTGGTTCTTTTCACTAATGGAGCATGAATGTAACATATTGATCCAAAAATCTTGAGGTGTTTGGTCGTTGGTTTAATTCCTGACCATGCTTCCACATGTGTCATCTTCTCCATTGCTTTTATAGGTAATCTGTTTAGCAAATAAACTATTGTATATATTACCTTAGCCCAGAAAGTCTTTGGCATGTTCTTTTCGGCTAACAAGCATCTGCCCATTTCTACAACTGATCGGTTCTTTCTCTCACAAACGCCATTTTGTTGTGGTGAGTAAGTCACAGTCAGCTGATTATCTATGCCATTATCTGCACAAAACTTTTGAAACTCGTGGGAAACATATTCTTTCCCATTGTTTGATCTTAAAGCTTTCAGCTTGCAGCCACTTTGCATTTCAGCCATGGTCTT